ACTTTACAGATCTTCTTTATGCACCAAGAGTTTGTAACACTCCAATGAGAAACGAAAACTTGAAATCGCATCATATGACCCCTTTAATACATAAAGGATATGTTACAAAATATTTCTATTTCAAGTACATGATGTTCTTTTGCACTCTTCATTCATCAAAAATTCAGTGTTTCATAATATTAGTGGTTTTTACTGTATTTTGATTAAATAAATTGAGCTTTGGTGAGAGACTTTTTTCTAAAACATAAAAATCTTGTCAATGCCAAACCTTTGAATAATAGTGTGTTAATGAAATAGCATTGTACCTGCTTCCCTAAATAGTGGTCAATCCTGTACATCTCCTTTTCTTTCAGCTGGTCTGACAGTTTTTTGTCAAGGGCCTGAGCACTGTAAAGGTCGTGACCAAATGGCTTCTCCAGTACCACCCTGAGCCATGCATCAGATGGGGGGCGGCAGGTGTTGTTGATCTTCTCTGCAATGTCTGCATACGTGAAAGCTGGAACAGACAGGTAGAAGAGCCTCCCTGCTTCGACCATACCCTCCTGTCCTAGCTGCTGTTTGATCTGCTGGCTGAGCTTCTCGTAGTCCTCAGTAGTCTTCAGCTGGTGATATTTGGAAAGATGCAGGAACTGGTCTTTGACCAAAGTACAGCGCTCTGCAGAGAGCTCCGGGGGACAAGCCAGCTCCTTCAAGATCCCAAACAGCAGCGGTGTCCCCTTCTCGGTCGGCGAAAGGCCCCCACCGTAAAATGAGAAGGTGTGTCCTTTGCCTACCTGGTCAGCATAGAGCTGGAAAAAGCCTTGCCACAGGTACTTCCTGGCCAAGTCACCTGTTCCACCCACAACTACCACAGTCACATGCCCAAGTCTCTTCTTAGCCTCATGATTATCTGTGTGGCCTCTCTGCCAGCATATGATGGCCATTAGCAGCAGCTCCCATTTTATCCTAAGCATTGTAATATCACACACCCACCCTTTAAAAATAATAAAAATATCTGGATTTTAGAATGTTTGTAAAAAAACATTTGTTGATGCAAATTCTGAAAAGATTTCACACATGTATAAAAAACAAAAGAAAACCAAACTATGAAAACTGAATGGTTAAGCATGAACTTAAAGGAATGTATTCAGAAGCTGGATTATAAGGTTTGCTTCATTGGCTTATTGATGGCTTTATTTCTCATCTATAACTCAGTATAAAGTGAACACCTTTTGCAAACATTTGGCTGATGATTACAAACTAGCCTCAATCCTCATAAAGCATATGGAACTGTCAGCACTGCAACAAGATAAGACTTTAGTCCCTAAATAAACATTTCAGAAGTATTAAGAATTGCAACTGGATTGAAAAATGAAAAGTAGGGAAAAATAACTTTTTAGTGTTATAAATTAAATAATGTTTACAAATGTTATATTAATATTTCATGATATATATATATATATATATATATATATATATATATATATATATATATATATATATATCATGTATTTATGATTATTAAATATTCAGTATACTATTTACTGTCTACATGTAATTCAGTCCAACGTATCATCATTACAACACTGCATAATCACTATGTGATATTTCAACACTAAAACCGTTAATATACAGTAATAATGAGTCATGTCTGCAAGTCACTGTGTCTTTTAATGTACCAAAGTCCATATTTTTCTTTACTTATTTTAAAATCACTCAGCACAATAAAATCCTGTTAATTTGAACTCATTAGGTGTGTGGATTTTTATCGATAATAGTTTTACTGTGATACATAGGCCTATACGGTATGGTCTATGATAGGCCCAAGTCAAGAAGAGGGTGACATAATCCACTGACATACTATACCTGGACTGATTTGGAATGAGTAAAAGCAAGAACCACGGTAATGCAAATGAAATCTCTAGGTAAGTATTCACCCTAAGAATAAAGGTTAAGCCAACAGCCCCAGAACAAACAGACTACATTTACGGTAAAAGTTGACCTGAATGAAATGAAAGGTCACACAACTTGGCCAAACAGAGAGAATCCAATATATAAGGTGACTATGTCAGAGTTGAGAATTGCTGGAATCATTCTGACATATCTTATAGAAAACTGTCAACCAGGATGATTCTGATTTCATGATAAGCTTGTGTGAAGGCCAAAGATGACAAGAGTACACGCAACCCTAATGCTCAAGACAGAGCAAGCACTGTTTGCACATTTGGGTGTTGCAAATTGTTAAACATAGAGGCACTATGTAGACTTAAAATAAATAAAAAAATTCCTTGAAACAATCAAGACTATAAAATGAGCATAACAGGATGCAGTCGAGTTAAATAAACAGCTGCTGCACAGAACTCATGTAATTCAGCACACACTCGGGTCATTCCTCCTGTTCATATTATCTAGTGAACAATATAAACATTAAAGGGGTCATATGATGCGATTTTAAGTTTTCCTTTCTTTTTGGAGTGTTACAAGCTGATTGTGCATAGATAAGATTCCTGAAGTTGCAAAGACTAAAGTCTCAAAACCAAAGAGATATTCTTTATCAAAGTTAAGACTCTGCCACGCCCCCCTAAAACAGCTCGTTCTAACACGCCCCCACATATCTACCTCACTATGTGGAAATATTAGCATAATGCCGCCCAAATGTGCACGCAAAGAAAGAAGGCGTGGTTTCAGTAACCGCCGTTAGTGTTGAAGCAGCCATGTCAGGGAGATGCTGTGTGTTTCTAGGCGAACGCAAAAGCACTTTATTTGGCCTTCCGAAAGTAGATGCATTTAGGAATCTTTAAGATCACTTACAACAGAACAGCAATGCATTTTATGGA